TCTGTGGGTGACACTGGTGTAAAATTATGTTAAAGTGCCCCTATTAAAGTGCCATTTTTAAGGTTCATAATATTTTTGGAGTCTCCTACAACAGGTTTACATTCATGCAAGGTTCTCAAAATATGCATTTAATATCACCTCACTTTCCAGCGATTCTCGAATTTCATTCTCTCTAAACCCATCCTTTCAATGAGCCTACTCTGCTCTGATTGGTCAGATGGCCCAGTCTGTTATGACTGGTCTACCGCGTACAGAGCGTGTCAGAAACTATACGCTCATTGCCATAGTTCCATATTTTGATCGCTCGATAGAAAATATAAACATCTATTATTTATCATACTTACAGGTTGTGATTCAGTGAAGCCAGCTGGTCCTAATAAACTAGGTACTGAGCCATCTTTCAAGAGCAAGCGTTTTGTGAATCCCGCATTGAACTCCCCGATATTAGAGAAGTAGTCGTCAGTAAAATGACGGGAACAAAGTCTGGAGTTATACTGCTGTGGTACAGTGGAAAAAATGAATTTTAACCACTGATTCTTTGCAGCCTCATCTTTTGGAAGTGAAAATAAAACAAATTTATTTTCACTTCGTAGGACACAGTGTCTTTTCGACATGAGGTTAACCACACAAAAAAGCTACAGTGTTCTAGGTGGGTCAACTTGCTCGCGGCCAGCCAATGTAGAAAATAGGCGGCCATTATACAAATGTGTTACAGCATGAACTGGGATTCGAATTACTCTTTTAGGCTGTTCAGAGTTGATTCTTTCTTTTGGGAGACAAAAACTTTATTTATCATGGACTTTTGGCTTTAAAACTTTGCAGATCATTTACATTCACATACAGCTACATTACACACTGCATGAAAGGCAATATTCCAAATGGCATAATAGGGGTACTTTAATAATAAAATTTCATAACGTAACTTTTTTTATTACTATTTTCTGTGTGTATTTGGAAGACCTTTAGGTGTAATTTTAATCACAGGTAAGAATCTCCTCTTGCTATCACTATTCCATCACCAATGGAACATCAAAAACGTGACTTTTATGATCAACAACAAGAAGCCACCATAAAAAAAAATCTCTTTCAAGGGATCACCAGGTCAAATAAAGCAAAACATTCATATGACTATTTTACATTATCAGATTTCCTTCTAGCACCAGGAAATAAAGATGTTGTGATAAATAAAGATGTTGTTGTGAAGTTGTGTACAATGTTTATGCAATCAGTCTCGTCACACCTGCTGTTGGGTCACTGCCATTAATAGAGCAAGTAGTAATTTACTAAATTAACTGTCTCAGCCCACACATTTCCATGATGGAGGTGTGGTACTCCCTCGTAAAATAGGAACACGGCTCTCCTTCCACCTGAAGGCAGTTTTGTGATGCCAGTATTATGAAACTAAGGTGGCCTTACACCTTTCACACCCTACTTGCCTAATACGTCATTGTATTCGCATTCAGTGGATAACTGCATTCCCAGCTAAATGCCTATAGATGACACTGGAGCGCACAAAAGGGAATGCTGTTTGGCACGGAGGAAAAAGACACTGTGTGATTCACACTAAATGAGTGAAACTGGGGCAGAAGCTCTCCAGCAGGATAATCAAGAATGTGTTATGAATACTATCAGGATGAGTGTTACAATATAGGCCTATTTTAGGAGCTTACTGTGAGAGTTAACCAGTGTGCAAGAATGGACCTTGGCCTGAGCGCCTTGAGCCCACATAAGGATAATTTTTTAATCCTTGTGTTGCAGGATCTTTTCTCTTTAAGAAGAAAAAAAAATGTATAGGAGATTCAGATTTCATTTTCTCTCATTTTTACTTCTAAATATATGTGGAAAATAATGTGTTTTTTGAACCTTAAGCCGCATAAACACATTTCATTACACCAAATACACAAAATGTTATTTTTAGCAACATCATATGACCCCTTTAAGCCTCTTTAAGTGTGGGGATGTTTTACAGGTGGGAAACGCAGTATATCCCTTTTTGTTTGGATGATATTCTATTTTTACACCAATAAATGTTAAGTATACAATACACACACACACATACATATATATATATATATATATTTATGCAGGTGACCTTTAAAGATTTAGTTATTGGCAGCCACACATCTTGTCCTTCTACAGACAAGTCTTGTTTCTCAATCAGTATGTGTGTACTTTGCAAGAATACATTTTATTTTATTTACACTGTGTGTGTGTGTGTGTGTGTGTGTGTGTGTGTGTGACGTCTTTAAGATGTCAGTTTTACATACATTCTAAATCATAAACATCTTAAAGACATTTTCTAAACACCTATTTGACATCTGATAGGAAACTTCCTATAGACGTACTGCAGATGAGCAAACACTAAAAAATGTCTTGCAGATGTAAATGCAAACGTCTCTGTGATGTACGTGTGCTATCAGGGAAGGTTTACAGCAAGTTACAGTTTCCCATCATGAAGTAATAAATCATTATTTTAATATCCTTAATAAAATGTAATCTTGCAAAGTACACACATACAAATTGAGAAACCAGACTTGTCTGTAGTAGGACAAGATTTGCTGCTGCCAATAACTAAAACTTTAAAGGTCACCTGCTTCTCATGCATCTCTCCAAGCAGACATTCTCCACTGTCATCTAGCACCAAACTGGAAAGTTTAGTATTTCTCACTCACTGACACTCAATGAAATACTTCAAAAAGCTGTTAAATGGATGATAAACATCATCACACTTTTAGATTTTGTTTAAAACAGCTTTTGACTCACATGAGTCTTAATGAGTGAAGCAATTTCCTGGCCAGGTTAACTTCCTTTTTTCCCCTCTTTCTTATCTGTATTTGATCTGTCTTTGTTTCGTTATCTTTCGTCTCACACATAATGTTAGTGTATCTCTTCTGTAATTCTCTATGGGGAGGATGGACAGTGCTCAGCCCACGAAAACCAGCACTGCCACCTTTTCTCGCACCACACACGCTATTTAACTGTAAACATCACTAAAAGAGGAATGACAGCAAATAAGAGCTGTAACAATCATTTTATTACTCATTTTGATGCGATAAGTTCGGTGACAGATACTGCCGTTCCCACACAGGTGCAGTTAGCTTTAGCATATCGGCTAACCTGTCCAACTATATCACATTGTACGTGTTTATGAGAAAACACCTGCTTTGTCCACTCAAATTAAAACAGATACTGTCAATACAGAACGGTCAATTGCTGAAATGCTTAAGAATACAAAAATACACACAAAAATAGCTGTGTGCTGGAGACCTAGTCCTTTGATAACATTCACAAGCTGATCAGATGAGTTTTAACCGCCATAATCGATTCTAACAAGGCATTTCGATTGTTATCATGATATAAGAGTGTATAAAATAATTCTATAAATTGTAAGTATATAACACTGACAATAATTGTGTATCAGCCAGCTGCCATTGAGTTCACCCACTGACTTAGCTTTCAGGCTAATTAAATAAACATTCGCTTTTGTAATTGAGATCTGGATATTTCTGTTTAAATATGTGACTTACCAGTTATGTTAAATCCATTTAAAATGCCATACACCAGCTGCCGTGATAAATAGTGAGAGTCAAGTCCGTGTGAGTGCGCTCCTCCCGAGGTGACACATCAACAATATGGCCCCTGAACTCATTGATAGCGAAGAATTAAGAACTCCGAGACGGGCAGCAGCCAGTTATGCAGCACGCAAGGTCAAATACCGCCGACAGGGGGAGCCAAATTTTGTGTAAACCCATGTGTAAATAATTAAAATTATTTGACCCGAAGACGTGTTAAAATATCGGTGAGTAAATGTACTGGCGAACATAAGTGTTCTGGCTATCATCTAACAAAACCAAATGGTCATTACATCATCAACTACCTGGACGTTGTGTATGGTTTACTTTAAGGGCTGTTGCCTCTTCTAGGTTTACTGTAACCAGGCTATTTCTGTTTTGTGGATGAATATATACTGTAGATACATTGACTACATTTGTTTTAAAGCCATCAGTATTTGGAGGACAACATTGAGCAAGATGTGTAATGTAATATTATATTTTCCATAAAAATATAGAAAATAAAGATCCAGTCCATTGCAGGATATATTACATTAGGCTACATGGCAAGGGGAAGTCGTGGCCTAATGGTTAGAGAGTCAGACTCGTAACCCAAAGGTTGCGGGTTCAAGTCTTGTACCGGCAGGGATTGTAGGTGGGGGGAGTGAATGTACAGCGCTCTCTCCTACCTTCAATACCACGACTGAGGTGTCCTTGAGCAAGGCACTGAACCCCCAACTGCTCCCTGGGCGCCGCAGCAAAAATGGTTGCCCACTGCTCCGGGTGTGTGTTCACTGCTGTGTGTGTGCACTTTGGATGGGTTAAATGCAGAGCACTAATTCTGAGTATGGGTCACCATACTTGGTCACGTCACTTTCACTTTTTTCACTTTACATCTACAGAAAGGAGGAATATCACGGACTTTACTCACTCCAAGCACCCTGCCAGCTTTAAAGTTGGCTTTCTTTCTTTCCATGTCCTGCTCTGCTTTAGCCAGGTTATATTGCCTTTTCCCTTTCAAACATGTTTCCAAGCACCCTGCCAGCTTTAAAGTTGGCTTTCTTTCTTTCCATGTCCTGCTCTGCTTTAGCCAGGTTATATTGCCTTTTCCCTTTCAAACATGTTTCCAAAGTAATTCAAGTGATTTTTGTTACAACGATAATAGTTGATAATAGTTGATCATTACAACAGTTATGAACACTCATAGTAGTCTCTATTCATTTTTCTCACCTCAGTCTCTACCGAATCCTCCAGCAAAAGTCATCCCATTTTTCCCCCCTTAGACTTTTCTCTCATTAAAAATAAATCAATAAATAATATTTATTTATTTATTTTAAGGAGTGCAAGAATACCCTTGACTCTTAAAAACAAGAAAAATTACTAGTTTGTGTTGGTCCTCTTGGAGGTGACAACTGTATGTACACTGAACAAAATAATAAACGCAACACGGCCTTTTGTGTACATAGAAAAAGTCGTAGATCCTTGTGTTCAGCTCATGAAAAATGGGGGCAAAAACAAAAGTGTTGCGTTTATTATTTTGTTCAGTATATGTATGTATGTGTATGTATACATAGGCTATATACACATATATTTTTAATGAGAGAAAAATCTAAACCATATGACCAATCAAATGGTATTAATGTTTGAAAAACACTATATAAATCTTGCCAGAACCTCTGCATGTTTATTCTTCAAGCACTTCAATTTTCTTCAAGTTGTTCACAACCTCAAGTTTCTGTTTATCCTTGGTGTCTGTAATTACAAAATCTAGACACATGTTAAAAACAGAATTAATTACATAATATGAGCAGATCTGTTGTTTTTGCTTCATTTAGTCAGCTACTAGACATTTAACAAGCTAGAAAAAGGACAACAAAATGTTAAAAAACAAATAATAATATGAACAACAATATGTATGTGCATATGTGCAAACAAGATTCATTCAGGCTTCAAGCACAGATTTGTTCAGTAGATTCACAGTGAAATGCTACTTCACAGGCTGCACTCAAATGTTATCGGCTTATAGTCTGTCTGTGGAGGAAAGAAAAGCCATTAAAGCTGTTCAGTTCAGTGAATAAAAGGTATGATTCAGTGAAAGAATGATTAATTCACTTAAAAGATTCATTCAACACACAGATTCATATAAAACTGTAAATGAGGATGATAATTGTAATAAAGAATTAAACAGTATATGTAACATAGATCTCATGCTGCTCTAATTGACTTATTGATTACATCAAGTGTCGTTTACGTTCAAATGAATCTCAACATTCTATGTCAGCACAGCAGCTTGAGTTGATATTTGAAAATCAACACAACTGTTCCTGAAGCCTTAAATCCTGATCAAGCTCAGTGCTACAAGCTCTTCACAACTCTACAGTTTGGTGTGTCTCAGTAATTTGTTGAGTTTGTAAAGTTTTTCTTGATTCATTAGCATGGAGCAGCGTCGCACAAGAAGAACCAGGGCTCGTCCCACACACCTGAGGGGCTTTGTAGTGGAGGGCGTCTCTTCCATTCAAGACCCATGTGAGAATTCACAGCTGTAATCAGGTTGGACCTCTCTTACAGCTGCATCTCTGCGAAAGCTCGAAGACCCAGCGGTCTGGAAGAGCGCTACCTAAAGAATGTTGCTGTCCTTCCCGACATCTGTTCAGCAGCAGCAGTCTCTTCAGTGACACCTCTGTGTCAGCAGGAAGAGTCTGTCTCCATTCACGGCTGCAGCATCCAGGGCTACCAGGACATTTACCACTCTGTGGCTGAGCCCGTGATGAAGACACTCTGTGGTCGACGCCGTCCCTACAGCCTTGAGCTGGGACTGAAGATTAAGCAGCGTCTGTGGAAGACATCAACTGCCCCTCACTGGTAGAGACAGAACAGCCTGATGGACGCATCCTGATCACTGAAAGCTTCTCCACAAACAACAGAAGCTTTGCTCTTCGAATTCACATGGACATCAGTGAAGAGCCCCTGCCTGAGGAGCCCAGAAGAAAGAAGCCCAGACACTGAGTCATCAGTGTCACATGGAGCCTGAAGTATGTAAATACTGTATAGTTATATAGTAAGTTTTTGTTTGTAGAAGTTTCATTTGTAAGTTTTTAGTTTGTAGAGCAAATTTTCAGCACATGTTCTGGTGTTTAACACTTTGCTACATGGTTGTCAGGATGTTTTGAGTGGTTTTCTGTGCGTTCACATGATTTCGCCAAGCTTCTCTGTGCGGTTGTTGGGATGTTGTTTTGCAGTTGCTGGCCTCCTCTGAGTGTTTTTCGTGCATTGCTACGTGGCTGTTAGTTATGCGTTATGCGTGGTTGTTAGTTATGAGTGGTTGGTTGATTTGCAGTTGGTTTTAACAGTTTGGTTATAGTCCCTTGCACGGTTTGCAGCTTGACGTGCTGTGAGGGCTTGTGTGCATCAGTGATGCTGAGAGCTACGCCACTGGTACTTCACAACTAACGTTACTGGTAGGGTCTCCCATAGTGGACAGATGCCAGACGAAGACAAACCACCTGATTCTGGACAGCAGCAGATTGGCCTGATGTTCAGAAGATCACAGTCTTATGTATACGGGTAAGTTGGAGAGTTGTACAGCATATAATAATTATAATTTTTTTAATTAATTTTGCAGTCAAATTGAGGATTATGGAATCTGTAAAAGTTTGGTTTCAATTTATAATCAGTTGATTAAAATATTTAATCTCAATTAATTGCATGATTTTTCAGAGTTAATCAACATGAATTAAAACTAAACTAAAACAGAGATAAAGCAATCAAAGCATAAAAACTAAACATCAGAAGCTCAAAACTATTCTTCATATACTTTTTACATAGATTGTATATAAAATAAATATGCAGTGTTAAATTTGAATACACATTTATATACTTATTTGTTTTACCATGCCAAAAAAGCCACTTATCTTATATACACACTAAATTATATCATTTGTATAATAACTAAATACACTAAATATGAGTTTTTAAATATACAATATTTTAATCGTTTTAATAATTACAATTATATGTTAAAACAGTCTGTAGGTGTCAGTCTTGAGCAGCCCGTTAAGAGTTATAAACAATGAAACAAATAAAAAGTATTTGTAAAAAAAACAAAAAAAGACAAACGTATAAGTCCATGTTCTTAACGGCTTTAATGATGGAAAGAACTACAATCCCATTAAGCATTGCGAATGGCATAATATGTAATTGCAGTTGTAAACTAAATAATCTGTTTATAGGCTACCATCCAGGACTTATTTATGCTTCTCATTTTTCGCTTTATATAAACGTCTCTGCTAAATAAATACATGTAAAATGTTCCAGGCGGTCCTAATCAGGGAGAACCCTGAAAAAACACAAAACTCAATTAGATCAGCACATTATTCATAGATATACTTTGTCTTATATTCAAAAGTAAATCATGCATCATAACTTAGTAGTGACTCACCTCCTTGGATTGATCTGCTCCAAGTCTAAAGCAACAGCAGATAATGTCAACAAAATACCCAATCAATCTGTGGAGCAGACCTGTGTCAAGAAGCACAGGACAAGAAAAGCCCATGAAGCCATGTTTGGCTATGATTTGCTAACAACACTCTGATAATGCATTTTATAACCTTGAGAATATGTTTAATAATATTTTAAATGACTACCATAAACAATATAATCATCTGCTGTAATCGATTTACTTTTATATTTACTTTGTATAACATGTGAAGGTTACCTGAAGTTGAAAAGATTCCTCCAATGATGCCACACAGTCTCACAAGAAACACCGAGAGAGGCATATGCTCCTCTCTCACCCTTACCATTAATGGACTCAGTTTATATTTAATAAAGATCCCAGATACACCATGACTGCCTTTCTTATTGCTTACAACCCGCTCCTATACGACAGGCAACATGACCATCAGCAACACACACTTGTACAAATGCATGCACAGGGCACAAATACTCTAGAACCTACCCGTTCTGTAACAGAAAACTGATGCATGTTCACTGAAACACCTGATATGTGCAGCTTGGTGGGCACGACTGTGATAAAATACTGAAACAGCATATTTTCTGAAAAAAAAAAAAAAAAAAAAAAAAAGTGTTGGT